CCGGCCGGGGGCTGCCCAGAGCCGCTCCATCCCCGCAGGCCCTCCCTGAGGCTCCAGGAGGACACTGTCCCCAAGCCACCATACTGCAGCCTCCAAGCCTCCCCCAGGGCTGCAGGACTGTCCTTCACAGAGTTCACATATGGGGCAGCCCCGAGCCGGTCGCGGATGGGTGCTGGAGGTGCGGTCCCTGCCCAGCAGAGAGGGGCAGGGGGGTCAGCCACACATCCAAAAAGCAGTGCAGCCTCTACCCGGTGACCACCGGGCCACGGAGAGGCTGGAGGGCCAGCGGGCTGGTGGGGTGGGGGACAAGGAGAGGCCGCCCCAGGGTTGTGTCTCAGCTGAGACCGAGGCGGGCGGGGCCTTCCGGCGCAGTTCCATGTGGGAGCCGGGGTGAGCCTCAGCGCTCCGGCCACACCCCCCACCCTGATCTAGGGGTTCCCGGCCCCCCACTGCACCTGCCCTCTGGCTGCTGATGGTCCACCTGGCCCGCCCGGGGCCTTCCCTCGGGAGCGTCCTTCCTACCAGCCTGTCCAGCCTTCTGGCCAGCTCTCAGCAGAGCCCTCCCTGACCGCCCCGCCCCGCTGCCCCAGCCCCATGGCCTCCCCAAGGACGGACTCTGTCACTGCGTCCCTTGTGTGTCTGTCATCAGTGGTCCGTGCTGCTGGACGGTGATGTCTGGGGGGCCGGGCTCCCGCCACCCACTTGACTGGCTCATACCGAGCTCATGGAACAATCCAGGAGCTGGGTGAGGGTCACCCAGGCATGAGTGAGCTGACGAGCCTGACATGACCTTCGCCCCCAGAACTGGGGTAGGAGCGCAGGGGAAGGGTAGAGGCCAGAAGGAAGAGCTCGGGTCAGCATTTAGGGACATCTGGGTCCTGAGACGGGGCAGACGGCAGGGCGGGCCCGATGGGTGGAGGCCTCTGCAGACAGGCCGACCCAGGCTGGGGGAGGGCAGTGTGGAGGTGGGAGGAGGTGTTGCCTGGGCCCCAAAGGGCAGCGAGGGAGAGAAGCGGCGTGCAGTGGGGTAGTCCCCATAGGAGACAGGCACGGCGCCCAGTGCGGGGGGCAGGGCTGGTGTCTGGCCTCGCCATGGAAGGAGCCCGGAGTGGCAGGAGCTGGCTTTGGGCCCCCATCCCTGGCCCACAAACCCCCGGAGCCCCAGCCCTCAGCATGGCGCCCTGAGGCCCTCCCAGGGCGACACCCACTCCACTGTGCTTCCCCAGGAACCCCGCATGGCACAGGCGGACGGAACAGGTGCCCGGCACCGAGCCTGAGCGGGCAGGGCCGTGGGTCTCTGTGACGAGGAGGAAGGGGGCTGCTACCAGGGACCCTACTCCGCTGAGGTCCTGGAGTCTGCCCTGGAGGGGGTCCGGGCGGAGCTGAAGAGGGGGACGCCTTTGGCCAGCGATCTTGGGGTGTGAGGTGGAGCGGGGCTCTCAGCCTGGCAAGGGCCTTGCACCCCGTCCCTCCTGCTCAGAACTTTCCATCCTCCTGTGTCTCCAGGGGAAGGGTGGGGGGCTCGCCGTGTCCAGCCTGACCTGCCATGACAGCTAAGCCCCTCTGCGGCCGCGCCTTGCACCCCGGGCCCCCGCCTGCTCCCCTGCCTGGAGCCATCTTCCTACAGCGTCCACCTTCAAGTCACAGCAGAGACACCACTAGTCACCCCGGGCGCCCACGAGCGTAGCAGCCTGCCCCTGCCCACACTGCCCGCCCCCACCCTGCTTCCCCTCTAACGAGCTGCACGGGCGCTCCCCTACCTGCCACCTGCCGCGGGGGTCCGGGGTCCACAGGTGGGTCCTCGCCTCCTGCTCTCTGACAGTGCCCCTCGGAGGACGGTGCCTGGCGCCTCGGAAATGCTCGGTCGACGTGGACCCCGTGACGGTCCTGCAGCGGGAGGCTGGGCGAGCCCTCCCTCCCTGGCAGGCAGGGAGCAGACTGTCCCTGGCGCCCGCCCGCCAGCCGCGGGCCAGCACACACCGCGCCCCACAGTCCCAGGACACTGAGAGTCACCGATACCTTGGGCCCCACGGCAGCTGGTCCCTGGACAGGCCAAGGTTCTGACCGGGTCAGGCACATCGGGCATTGTCCCAGGCCTGGGACACGCCACATATTGGGACTCTGTCCACCCTGCCCTGGCCCGTATCACTCTTTGGCCCCTGCCCAGCACAGAAGACATCACCTAATTCGCGCCTCCTACGTGCTCCCTCAGTGTACCCTGTCTGTCCAGGCCGGACTGCGAGAAGTTACATTTGTCCACGACGAAGACGTGGGG